ACATGTGTACATACGTCGAAATGACGGAATTTTTTTTTTAATAAATAAATGGGAGATGGCAACGTAACCATGAAACGACCTAAGTCAAGTCCGACGTAACCAGAGGACTGTCGGTATTTCTGTTGTCATTATATCTTTTTTTCTTATTGTTAACGTTTTATCTTTAATCTTAGATTTCTAAAAATAACTTTATTTCTGCCTCTTTAATACATTCTTCTAATCTTGCTTCACTAAGATAAGAATCAATATGAATATACATATTGATTCAGAGAGTCCATCTGAAATTTAGTGTGTGGATATTGTTATTTAAGGACTAAAATATTAACCACCTTCCAACTGGTTTCCAGATGAGTTTATTATTATTATTTGGATCATTTGGGCCCTCCCCCCCAACACATACCCCAATCAAGGATCAAACCCACAACCTGGGTATATGCCCTGATCAAGAATCGAACTGGTGACTTTTCAGTGCACGAGACAATCAACTGAACCACACCGGTCAGGGCCAGATGTACTTATTATTATTATTATTAAAATATATTTTCTAATATTTATTTATTTATTTATTTATTTATTTATTTATTTATTTTTACAGAGAGGAAGGGAGAGGCATAGAGAGTTAGATGTATGCCAAAATATGGAAATGATGAGAGAGAAACATTGATCAGCTGCCTCCTGCACACCCCCTACTGGGGATATGCCCGAAACCAAGGTACATGCCCTTGAATAGAATCAAACCTGGGATCTTTCAGTCCGCAGGCCGATGCTCTATCCACTGAGCCAAATTGGTCAGGGTCAGATGTGCTTATTATTAAAGAAAACTCTTGGGTGGAAGCGCTGGAGAGAGGTCAATGGGGGAAAAAGGAGACATATGTAATACTTTAAACAATAAAGAATTTAAATTAACAAACTCTTATTTCCTTACCTTACCTAGTCCAGGTATTGGATATAAGTAAAAATTTATTCCTTAAAGGAAAACGTTTTTGTGATATATTTTTACAGATAAATTTAATATGGAAATATTGAAACATTCTGAGTTTCCCCTTTTTTACTTTTGATTTTTAGTAGAATATACCCTATTTTTGGCCCTACACAAGTTCTGGGTGGTGAGTCATTGTTCATGTGTACCATGAGCTGGCAGGTCCACCTAAGATGCTGTCAGAGCTGACTTTGGCTAAATAGTAGTTAGATTGAAGGGCCAGAGCTCCATTTTTTAAATGGCTTTTAGAAATCGACTCTGTACTTTTCTTTAGACACTTCTTCATTGATTTTTTAATATTTTAAGTTAACATAACATTTTATACTATATACATCTCATTTTTAAAAAATTTATATATTTTTATTGATTTCAGAGAGGAAGGGAGAGGGAGAGAGAGAAACATCAATGATGAAAAAAAAAATCTCTGATCTACTGCCTACTGCCTGTCCCCACACTAGGGATCGAGCCCGTAACTGTGGCATATGCCTGACCAGGAATCACCCATGACCTCCTGGTTCATAGGGAGCTGCTCAACCACTGAGCCGCACTGGCTGGCTATGCATCTCATTTAAAAGATAATTTTAGTTCCTAAGCTAGTTAATTCTTACTGATTTATAGCCTCTCTGAGGAGGTAGGAAGAAGCATTTATTATTGATTTCTTTAAAAAATATATATATATATATTTATTTATTTCAGAGAGGAAGGGAGAGGGAGAGAGAGAAAAACATCAATAATGAGAGAGAGAATCGTTGATTGGCTGCTTCCTGCACGTCCTTTACTGGGGACTGAGCCCGCAACCCAGGCATATGCCCTTGACTGGAATATAATAGAACCCGGAACCCTTCAGTCCACAAGCTGATGCTTTATCCAAACTGGCTAGGGCTATTACTGAGCTATTTTCCTCTGAATTAGAGAAAAATCCTGGTTTTGTAATGATTAATAGTCTAAGGAGATTAAAAGTGTTTATTAATTAAATATTATTTTAAAAACTAAAAGCCCAGTGTGCGAAATCTCTCAGCTCCGCCTACCCGCACAGCCTCCCCGCGCTCACAGCCCAGCCACCTGTGTGCACCCCGCCCACCCGCACACGCAGCCTCCTGGTGACCAGCCTTTGGTCATTCCACCGTGACAGCGGCATGACCAAGGGGTTTTTATAACAGAGATGTACAGTAGTCCCCCTTATCCATGGTTTCAGTTATCTGCAGTCAATCCCAGTCTGAAATATTAAATGGAAAACTTGAACTAAATCATTCATAAGTGTTGAATTGTGCACTATTCTGAGAAGCATGCTGAAATCTCCCACAGTCCCGCCACGTCCTGCCCCTAACGAGTCATACTTTATCCACACTCACCGTATGCGCTCCTCGGCCGTTGGCTACTTATTAGCTGTTTAGGTTATCAGATTGGCTGTTGCAGTATGACTGTGCTTGTAGTTCAGGTAATCATTATTTTATTTAATAATGGCCCCACAACACAAGAGTGGTGCTGCTGGCAATTTAGATATGCCAAAGAGAAGCCATAACATGCTTCCTCTAAGTGAAAAGGTATGTCTATATAGGAAAAAACATAGTATATAGGGTTCAATACTATCCATGATTTCAGGCATCCTCGGGGGGGTCTTGGAACGTATCCCCTGCAGATAAGGGGATATTTATATTTGTGTATGTGCATGTACGTGTGTGTGTGTGTGTGTGTGTGTGTGTGTGTGTGTGTGTGTATGTTTAGTATCTAATTTCTAAATCATATAGCTATGATTTTGGAGCCACTCAAATACTTAAATAACACAGGGTGGTTAGAAAAGAATAATTCTGAGATATAGTCATCAAGCACATGTCTATGTTTTATATTGTATACAGCAACAGCGAAGTTTAAAAGAATTAAAATTATGGATTGAGTGATTAAAATATAGTACATCTCTATTGGGAATTTCAGAGTACAGAATTAAAACTTGTCTTTTAAAATTAATTTTTAAAAATCCTGACCAATTCTAGGTTAACTAGGATATGTTTTCTGTATCTATTCAAAATTTAAATGTAGATTCAATGTAAAATATATATTTGTAAGAATGAATTTCTTTTAGATTTTATTGACTGAAATGATGGCAGCATTAAACTTGAAGTTATGATTGCAAATATGACTATTGCTATAAATTCACAGTAACTCCAGAGTTACCTAGTATTTAGACTGAATGTTGAATAATATGTAGCCTATAAAATGTTAAGTATCATTGTATGTATTGAACAACATCAGAAAATTGATTTTAGAGAGGAAGGAAGAGGGAGAGAGAGAGAAACATCAATGATGAGAGAGAATCATTGATCTGCTGCCTCCTGTACACCCCACACTGGAGATCAAGCCTGCAACCCAGGCATGTGCCCTTGATTGGAATCAAACCTGGAACCCTTTAATCCACAGGGTGACGCTTTATCCACCAAGCCAAACCAGCTAGGGCTAGAAGTGATTTTAGAGAGTTAAAATATCATTGCTTAGGTTGATAGTACTAATATAACTTAAAGTCATATATTTTTAACCAGCCTAGTTTTGTTTGATTCTACAATACAGGGTGCAATATTTTACATGTTGCTGCTAGACTATACAGTAAGCTTCTTAAGGACAGGGCCAGTGTCTTCTGAGTACAGGACAGGGCCCGTCGCAGAGAAAAGCCAATAAATGCTTATGGAATGAGTGTGAATACCTAGGACAAGGTGTTTATGACATAGCTAAACGTGGTGTGTTTATTAGTAACTTCTAAAGTATTTTTTATTATGACAAATTTTAAATATGTAAGAATAGAAAGAATAATATTGTCCTAATCCATCTGGGTTTTTATAACAGAAAACCATTGATTGGTGGCTTATAGGTAAATAGTGAAAATTCATTGCTCAGTTTATGGTCAGGTTCTGATGAGGGCCCTCTTCCTGCTTGCTGGCTGTTGACTTCTCATTGCATCCTCACAAGGTGGAAGGGTTGAGCCACATTTCTGGGGCTTCTTTTTTTTATATTATTAATATATTTTATTGATTTTTGTACAGAGTGGAAGGGAGAGAGCTAGAGAGTTCGAAACATCAATGAGAGTCATCGATCAGCTGCCTCTTGCACACCCCCTACTGGGGATATGCCCGCAACCAAGGCACATGCCCTTGACCGGAATAGAATCCAGGGCCCCTCAGTCCCCAAGCCGACGCTCTATCCATTGAGCCAAACCAGTCCCAGTTCTGGGGCCTCTTTTACAAGGGCACTAATCCCAGTCATGAGACCCCTGACCTCATGACCTAATCATCTCCACAGGCCCACCTCCTAAAACCATCACTTTGGGGATTAGGATTTCAATTTACAAATTTTGGGAGACACAAACATTCAAACCATAGCAAATGAACCTTCGTTACCCATTGCCCTGCTTCAATATTCATGATTATTCTTGTTCCATCTTTATCTCCGCCCACTCCCTTCTTCTTGTATTATTTTGTAGCAAATCACAGACTTTATATCAGTTAATCTGTAACTATTCTAAAGTGTATTTCTCGCCGGCACCGGTTTGGCTCAGTGGTAGAGCGTCGGTCTGCGGACTGAAAGGTCCCGGGTTCGATTCCGGTCAAGGGCATGTACCTTGGTTGCGGGCACATCCCCAGTAGGGGGTGTGCAAGAGGCAGCTGGTCGATGATTCTCTCTCATCGACGTTTCTAGCTCTCTATCCCTCTCTCTTCCTCTCTGTGAAAAATCAATAAAAATATATATTTAAAAAAAAAAAAAAAAAAAAAAAAAAAAAAAAAAAAAAAAAAAAAAAAAAAAAAAAAATAAAGTGTATTTCTCAAAGTTAACAACTTAAAAAATCAGTCATACCTTTGTTACACCTTAAAGAATGACTTGGTTTTGATAAGTATTACTATTTCACTTCAAATATCTGAACTAAATATCTCCCAAGAAGCCTGTTATGTGTACTTTCCAGACAGTTAGTAACACTTGGACATAAAGCAATAGGATTAATTTTTTTTTTGTTCTGTTTAATATTTAGGCTACCAACATGACGGCTGAAGAAACAGTGAATGTAAAAGAAGTCGAAATCATTAAGCTAATGTTAGACTTTTTGAACTCAAAGAAGCTGCACATTAGTATGTTGGCTCTTGAGAAGGAAAGTGGAGTCATAAATGGGCTGTTTTCAGATGACATGCTTTTCCTGAGGTATGAATTCATTAGCTGTGAGCTGTGTGGCTCCTTTAAAGCAATGTTAAGTATCAATAAGGTAATATGTGTAACACAGGTAGTACTTTATAGCCATGAAACGGCTATGTAAATATAATTTTAAAAATGTTTGTGTTTATATTAAAACATTTACCAAACAATGTTTTCTGTAGAATGGTTTCAGTAGAAAGATCTAGAAGTCCATTAAAAAAAACGGGAGTTATAGCTACATTGTGGTTGTGGCTTTGTTAAAAGAAATAATTGATTAAGGAAGCAGGGACTCCAGAAAGAAAAAATATTTCTGAAATACCATTTTTTAGTCATAGAAATAAAACATTCTCATTATATAAACATATTCATTATAGCAAATATAGAAAAATAAGGAAGAAAAATCACCCTTCAAGATTCTATTATAGATGCTCTACTAATAATTTTCTGTGCATATTAAAAAATAACAGCAATTAAGAAAAAAATATTGCATTTATAGTTTAGTATCCTGCTTTATCTATTAACATCATAAGGATTCTCTATGTGACTGCAGATTTACACTATACAAATTTTCAAATTTTATTAATTTTCTAATAGTTCCTCTATTTTTAGACAATAAATTGTTTTCAAGTTTTCTTAAATAAATGCTCTACTGAGCATATTTTTTTCTGTATCTTGGATTAGAACAAGATTCTTGGAAATGGAATTGCAGAGCAAAAGGGAATTAACGTTTGCCAAAATGAAAAGCTAAATATATCCTAATTTGAACTGGACAGAAAAAGAAAAGCCCACATTTCTGGACAGAAATGTATTTTATGCTTACGTGATAAAAATTACAAATATCCTCGACAAGTTGTACAGATTCTTGGACATGTGGCATTTTGTGACTTGGAAAGCCTTAAGAAATGAAGTGGTCCTAGTTCATAGGAAAGGAATTAAAAAAAATTTTTTTTTATTTGAGGGAGGAAGGAGGGAGGAGCGAAGGAGGAAAAAAAAAAAGAGGGAGGGAGGGAGAGAAAGAAAGGGAGAGAGAGAGGGAGAAACATCAATGATGAGAGAGAATCATTGATTGGCTGCCTCCTGCACACCCTACACTGGGGAGCTTAGTCCACAATATGTTAGGAACCAATCCTCAGGCCATCCGTCTGGCCTGGTCTTTCAGTTTAGCAGGAGCTCTCAAATACCCCCTTGAAACCTGTTGGTTTGTGAAGAAGTTTTACTGGTCTGAGGAAAAATGCATGGAATTAACGAAGTTTTTTTTTAAATAAAATGGATTCATCTTAAAGGGCTGGCCTTTGAAATGGTCTTCCTACATTTATTTATTTATTAATAATTTTTCTTCTTAACGTTTTATATTTTTATTGACTTCAGAGAGGAAAAGAGAGAGAGAGTTAAAAACATTAATGATGAGAGAATCATTGATCTGTTGCCTCCTGCATGCTCCTTACTGGGGATGAAGCCCACAACCCGGGCATGTGCCCTGACTCAGAATCAAACCTGTGACCTCCTGTTTCATAGGTTGATGCTCAGCCACTGAGCCACACCGGCTGGGCTTTCCTACATTTTTAAATATTAAAATGCCCCTTTTGCTGGGACCGGTTTGGCTCAATGGATAGAGCGTCGGCTTGGGGACTGAAAGGTCCCGGGTTCGATTCCGGTCAAGGGCATGTACCTTGGTTGCGGGCATATCCCCAATAGGGGGTGTGCAAGAGGCAGCTGATCGATGACTTTCTCTCATCGATGTTTCTAACTCTCTATCTCTCTCCCTTCCTCTCTGTACAAAATCAATAAAATATATATTTTAAAAAAATGCCCCTTTATAGAGTGATTATGATATTTATATTTCAGTTGCTTTTTATTAATATTTCTTTGCAGAATCCAAAGTTGGCAATCCTGTGTAGATCCCCCATCTCTTTCTTTCTAAATCTTACTGTTCAAAATATCCAAAAGGAGGGAAATTGCTGTTATAAAAGAGCAGCAGCAATAGGAATGTCCTGTAACTTAAAAGTTCCAATAGAACCTAAAGTAGTATGAAACCTGACCTTACTCCTTCCTGTTTTCATTCTCAGAGTGTAGACTTTAGTACTAACTGCCTCGAAGATGATTCACAATTTAGAACAGGATTTTCCAACCTCTGCACTATTAACATTTTGTGCAAGATAATCCTTTGTTGTGCACGTCCTTGGGGGTGAGAGCCTCCTATGCATTGTAGGATATTTACAGCATCTCTGACCTATGCCCAGTAGATGTCAGTAGCACCTCAGTTATGACAACCAAAGATATCTCCAGACATTGCAAATTGAGAAAGACTGAGACAAGGACATATCACACACTAGCCCGTAAGTAATAGAGAGTAATGAAAAAAACACACATATGTTAGAATGAGGGGTGATTGTAGATTCACAAATTCTTCTCGTATAGCATATGTTGTTACAAATCAGTTGTAAGAAACATTTTTTTATGATAGTGATTGAGGACCCAACTAAAAAGTTCATCCCATTACAGACTTCAGACTGAAGCTTGCATGCTATCTTGTCATCTCTTCTGCTTTTAATCGGTGTAACCCAGGTTTGATAAATGCATGGATTTTCCCTTTATATAGGCAGCTAATCCTTGACGGTCAATGGGATGAAGTTCTTCAGTTCATTCAGCCTCTGGAATGTATGGAAAAATTTGACAAAAAAAGGTAAGATTTCATCTGAAGTTTTAAAAAAATCTAATGTTTTATAACTTGCTATTTTTTAATGTATTTATTGATATTTTTTAGAGAGGAAGGGAGAGAGAGGGAGAAAAACATCAATGAGAGAGAAACTTTGAGGGGCTGCCTCCTGCACACCTTCTACTGAATTTTGATTTCATATTATGTTACATTTGACATTTTCCATGAAAACTTGATTTTTGTTTAGAATTAATTTTGGAAATAGAAATCCTTCCATCTTGTATTGAACTGCAACTACTTGCTACTGAAATTATTTTAATTATGGCTTCGGTATGATAAGTTTCATAAAATATTTTAAGAATTTTCTGAAAGCAAAAGTACTTATAGTAACTTACAATTACATTTGATTTATGAGACGTTGGAAAATTAAAAACTTTGAAGTTCTTTTTTAAAATAAATAATTACTTCTTTAAGACACACTTAGCTTGTTTTAACAGCTTCAGGAACTTGAGTTTCATGTCCAGTCTTTGACATTGATATAATTAAGCTTTTCAATCATCTTTATGCTTCACATTTTATTTTCCGCAGGTTCCGTTACATTATCCTGAAGCAGAAGTTTTTAGAAGCTTTGTGTGTTAACAATGCAATGTCAGCAGAAGATGAGCCCCAGCATGTAAGATTTTTATTCCTGAAGGTTTGCGCCCTAGTCTTGTTTCAGTCATAAGTACTTTTTATTCACTAAAACGAAAGATTAGTGTCATGAGTTTTTGAAATGTTTTTGAGCCACCATCAGGTCAGCTCTGCTCCTTAGCAGTTGTAGTACTTTCTGCCTGTAGTGAGGCTACAGTCTTCCCGTGACTTAGGCAGAGAGGTAACTGAATGGCTGGCTGGTGGGCGAGAACGTGCGCCCGTCCTGTTCCTGTGGTTTAGGCAGCAATCGAGGTTTGACTTGATGACTCGACATCAGTGCTTCTCTCGTCGCAGAAGTGGATTGTGTTTGCCTCTTCTTTCTGTCCAATCATATTTCCGTTGATGCAGAAATGATGTTTTGATGAAATGGCTATCTTTATGACAATATAAGTTCAATGATACTAAATTCCTTTTGATTAGAGAATTACTATTCAAATTTTAATATTAGTTATGGTTACATCTAAAACCGGTGAAACTGCCGAAACCGGTTTGGCTTAGTGGATAGAGAGTCGGCCTGCGGACTGAAGGGTCCCGGGTTTGATTCCGGTCAAGGGTACATACCTTGGTTGCGGGCATATCCCCAGTAGGGGGTGTGCAAGAGGCAGCTGATCGATGATTCTCTCTCATCGATGTTTCTAGCTCTCTATCCCTCTCTCTTCCTCTCTGTGAAAAATCAATAAAATATATTTTTAAAATAAAAAATAAATAAAAAATAAAACCAGTGAAACTTTTATAAAGTGCCAGTGAGTTTTCATTGAAATAAACCATAAAGAAATTACAGTGAGGACTTTCATATATAATAAATTTTTGTCAGATAATGATGTTTAAAAGTGAAAGAACACTGGATTGTAAATCACAGCCCTAATTTTTATTGTCTTCACCACTAATTAAATTATTTTGATTAAATATGCATCCTACCTTTTCCTACATGTAAGATATAAAAGCTGGAGTATGTAAGCTGTGAGGTTCCTTACATCATTAAGAGCTTATGGAAAAAATAAAAATAAGTAACAGCTTATGACAATATCACATTTACAATACAAATTACTGTAATTTGTCTCTCAGCTAAGCCTCCTCTTCTGTCTCTGCACGGTTCTTATAGCAAATGGACTGTCCGATATTCTTTCTCTTGACACTCTTTCTTTCCTCTCACAAATTTTCCTAAGCAAGTTTGAGAATGGCTCTTTTGCTTTTTGGATAAGCTGGAGTGACAGTAAGTTATATAGACAATTGAATATTGGTTTGTGTCAGTTTTCATTTTTAGAAAACTCAATTATTACCTTTAAAATTATACATTTGAAAATAATAGTCAAGCCTGAATTACAACACTGTTTTTATACTAGTAGATAAAAGCTTAATGTGCTAATTAATGAAATAATTTAATCTTTTTATTTTAGTAGTGAAAAATATTTTGGTTTCTGCTTTGAAAGTTGTTAAATATCCTAAAAATCATAAGAATATTCTGTGACACTAGAGGTTACCCTTTTGCAATTGAATCGTTTGACAGTATGTGAAGTGTCTTTGTGTTTGAATGAAACACTCTCATTGCTTTCATATCTTACCTCTCTTTATAGTGATAACTTCTATTTTCTTACAGCTGGAATTTACCATGCAGGAAGCCGTGCAATGTTTACATGCCCTGGAGGAGTACTGCCCCTCCAAAGATGACTATAGCAAGCTCTGTTTGCTCTTGACTTTGCCTCGCCTGACCAATCACGCGGAATTTAAGGACTGGAATCCCAGCACTGCACGAGTTCACTGTTTCGAAGAGGCTTGTGTCATGGTTGCAGAATTCATTCCTGCTGATAGGAAGCTGAGTGAGGCAGGTTTCAAAGCAAGTAATAATCGTTTATTTCAGCTTGTCATGAAGGGCCTGCTGTACGAGTGCTGCGTGGAATTTTGTCAGAGTAAAGCAACCGGAGAAGAAATCACAGAAAGTGAAGTCCTTCTCGGCATCGACCTCTTATGTGGCAATGGCTGTGACGATTTGGATCTGAGCCTGTTGTCATGGCTTCAGAACCTCCCCTCTTCGGTCTTCTCCTGTGCTTTTGAACAGAAAATGCTTAATATTCATGTCGATAAACTCCTGAAACCCACAAAAGCTGCATACGCTGATCTTTTGACTCCTCTTATCAGCAAACTTTCTCCCTACCCGTCATCTCCGATGAGACGGCCTCAATCAGCTGATGCCTATATGACCCGCTCTCTGAATCCTGCCTTGGATGGCCTCACTTGTGGACTGACCAGTCACGATAAGAGGATCTCGGACATTGGGAACAAAACTTCTCCAATGTCACACTCCTTCGCTAACTTCCATTATCCGGGGGTACAGAACCTCAGCAGAAGTCTCATGCTTGAGAATACAGAATGTCACAGTATTTATGAGGAATCCCCTGAACGGTAAGATTTTGCTCATAAAAAAATTAGGAAATTTCCACAGGTCTGAGATAATCTAATGGTTGTGTGTGGGTGTGAGTGGGTGTTTTTTTAAAAAAAATTTTTTTAATTGATTTGGAATGGGGGAAAGGGAGAAGGATTTGTTGTTCTCCTTATTTATGCATTCATTGGTTGATTCTTGTATGTGCCTTGACTGGTGATTATAACATGCTAAAGGAGAGCTGCTGTGCTCTGGATAAAGTATAAACATTTACTTTGGAAAAAGTTTACCTTGTTTTAAAGAATATTTGAGGTGTAAGTAAAACAATATTGGGAAGCTCAATTATGTTAAAGATACCACATGAAGAGGCTCCTACATGTTTGATGTCTGTATTCATTAAAAAATATTTGAGTATCTACTATGTGCTAGCACTATGCTACATCCCGGGATCCAGTGACTGAGTTATATAGTGAACAAGAAGATAAACAGGAAAGAGGGGTCTATAAAGGAGTGTGTAGTATTTTGAAGGATATCTTTTCACTTGAACACAAAACTCAAAACAAAAAGGAAGAAAAAAATCAGTTGAAATATGTAAGCTTTTGCTATTCAAAATATTAGTCTCAAAATTAAATGTCGTCCCCCTCCCCCCTACTCAGAAACACACAACAATCCTTAGGTGTGGGTCAGCGTTGGATTGAGAGTGTGAAGACCTGGACTCAAGTCCGAGCTTTATTTACTAGCTGTGCAATTTTAGAAAAATCTCTTGTTTTTTAAATCTGTATCCTCATCTGTGAAATGGGAGTTCTAACCTATTTCACAGGTTATTATGAAAGTTAAATGAGATTATACATATGGAAGTGTTGTATAAATTTCAAAATTAAATCAGATGTTACTTTATGAAGGTCATTTGAGTCTATCTCTGTACAGTTAACAACTCTTACAAGTTCTATTTATCTTATGGTCATCACCAGTTTAAAGCCTAGAAGCTAAAACTCTTCCCAGATCTTTCTTCTTCCTCCTTTCTGTGCATGTGTGTATGTATGTTCAGGTACCTATGAGTACAAGGCTCCTAACTAGTGATGCCTTTGTGAAGATGACTAGCTAGCTCTGCTTTCCTGAACCTTACTTCTTGATATGTCTGGCATATCAAATGTTAAATGTTAATTATTTTATTTTAAATATATTTTTGTTGATTTCAGAGAGGAAGGGAGAGGGAGAGAGGTAGAAACATCACTGATGAGAGAGAACCATTGATTGACTGCCCCCTGCATGCCCCATACTAAGGACAAAGCCTGCAACCCAGACATGTGCCCTGACCGGAAATTGAACCTTGATCTTCTGGTTCATAGGTTGACGTTCAACCACAGCCATGCCAGCTGGGCTGTTAATTATTTTAAAATTAAAATTTCTCTAACTAAAATATATTTTCCTTCATCCCTACCTCTTCCCTTTTGTTTTCTTGCACGTTTCTGGAAGAAGTGATACACCTGTTGAGGCACAGCGACCTATCAACAGTGAAATCCTGGGCCAGAGTTCAGTTTCAGAAAAAGAGCCTGCGAATGGAGCACAGAATCCAGGACCAGAGAGGCAAGAAAAAAATGAGGTAATCCTTACTACCCCAGTGTCCTTTAGAGCGGCAGTCACCAACCGGTGGTCCGTGGCCACTGGGGGTCCGAAAGGTTGGCAGCCGCGGCTTTAGTGTGACTCGCTTTGTAAGAAGTAATAGTATTCAGAGTGAAGTAGAAAAAGTACTATTGAAAATACAAATGCATATTTGTACCAAACAGTAGAACCCCAAAATATATGAAGCAAATATATGAAGAGAGAAGTAGACAGTTATGCAATAATATTTGGAGACTTAATACTGTACTTACAATAATGGATTAAACACCTAATCAAACTATCATTAAGGATATAGAAGACTTTAATAACAGTATAAACCATCTAGACCTAACAGACATCTATAAAAAAACAAACAACAATAGCAGAATGTACGTTTTTCTCAAATATGCGTGCAGTGTTCTTTAGGATAAACCGTATGATAGGACATAAAACAAAGCTCAATAAATTTAAAAAGATTGAAATCATGCAAAGTATCTTCTCTGACCACCATGGAATGAAGCTAGAAATTAATAACAGAAGAAAAATGGGAAAATTCACATATTTGTCAAAATGCAATAACACTCTTAACCAGTGGTCAAAGAAGAAATCACAAGGGAAATGAGAGTACCAAAACATACTAGTACAATAGTGCCAATATTGGAATTCAGTAAATATTTAAGTCCTGTGAGTTTGAGTGCTATACAGTTCTTTTAGAGTAATGAAGTAGGAATGCTTGAGATTGCTAAGTTGAACATACATTTATCCCATATGAAACCTAAACTAAAGTATTGTTTTTGAAGGAAATTTTATAAGTTTCTCTTTAGAGTAACGCATTAAACAATTTTCTTGCTTAAATTAAGTGTGTTGGACAAGATTAATATTGTGTATATTAAATATTACTCTCTCGGTAACTATTTTTTTTTTCAAATAAGGTAGATTCTTACTCTTTATCTACATTCATATTCTCTTAACCATGTTCCCCTTGTGACCACTATAATTTGTATTTTTATCTTAGATTCGTTAAGGACCCAGGATGTCCATTCATTTTGGTCAGTCTCTTGCTGTGGAAAAAAGCAGTTGACCAATCTACTTGACTATTAAGACTCATAGATGCTATTTTTCAATGTGCAATATATTTAGTATTTTCTAATTGTTAAATATAGCTAATTGTATATTTTATTCAGCATTACAGAAGTTACTCTTGAGTAGGAATATATTCAATCACAGTCTGCTCAAATATATTTTTCTCAAATTTTTAAGCTTCGAGACTCAACAGAACAATTTCAAGAATATTACAGGCAAAGGTTACGCTATCAACAGCATTTAGAACAGAAGGAGCAACAGCGACAGATATACCAGCAGATGCTGCTTGAAGGAGGTGTCAATCAGGAGGATGGGCCAGACCAGCAGCAGAACCTCACGGAGCAATTCCTTAATAGGTTGGTCTTTCAGTCATGTTTTTACACATGAGGAATTATTGAAAAGAAGTGTTTATTTTCCATGTAGGCTTTGCAATGTTAAGGTTTTTTAAGAGTTTTGAGTAATGTGGAGTTACATATCTTCAGACACATTATTCTGAGGACTCATCTAGTTGTGCCCATCCCTTTAAAGTCCTTTCACATCTAAGCAGCCAGAGCCCCAGAGTGTGTAGTTCAGCAGACAGGCTGGAAGCAGACTGCCAGGTGCATCCTGGGTAGCTGAGGACCGAGGGGAGGTTACTTAGCTTAGCTTCTTTTGCTGTGTTCTCATCTACTTCACAGGTTGCCATGAAGATTATTATTATTTTTTTTAATTAAATTATTATCTGTGTACATATTTTAACATTGCTCCCCCCTTCCATACATACCCTCCCTCCCCAGAGTTTTGTGTCCATTGGTTGTACTTATATGCATGTATACAAGTCCTTCGGTTGATCTCTTATCTCCCCCAGATCTCCCTGCCACAAAGATTAAATGAGTTCACATATGTAAGGTGCTTAGAACAGTACAGTAAGCACTATATGAAGTGTAAGCTGCTGTTTTTATTGTTATTTTGAGTGCTTACACGTATAGATTCTTCTTAATGCTGAGACCGGTTTGGCGCAGTGGATAGAGCGTTGGCCTGCGGACTGAAAGGTCCCGGGATCGATTCCGGTCAAGGGCATGTACCTTGGTTGCGGGCACATCCCCAGTAGGGGGTGTGCAAGAGGCAGCTGATCGATGATTCTCTCTCATCGATGTTTCTGACTTTCTATCCCTCTCTCTTCCTCTCTGTGAAAAATTAATAAAATATATTAAAAACAAATAATTCAGTGTTTTCAAATGATTCTTATAATTTCTGTCAAGAGTATGAACTTATATTATTTTTAATTATAGGAGATATATATATATATAAAACGTGTTTTAAAATTAATAAACCAGAATATGTATATTTAAATGAGCGAGGGTTGTTGGCAGGTTAAATGAGTTAATGTATAGACACTTATTTAGACTAATTCCTGGCAAATAGGAAGTGTGCCATTATTGTTGGCTATCATCAGGATTATGATTAGGCAGTACAGTGGTATCAGCCGGTTCTTTCCTTGGCCCAATAATATTGGAAGTAATCTGCTTGACACTCTGAAGTTTGTGCAAGTCAGCGAGCCTGAAATTGATCCTGTTTTCAAACCTTCACACAAGGAATGTTTATAATGGTAGCCTAGAGTCTAAGTAGGCCTCTGAAATGCAATTTGAGGATTGTTTTCTTATTACCTCTGATCAAATCAGTGGCTCTCAGAATTATCCTAATTTGATGAATTGCCACTTCTGGTTCTTGGATGTCCTCTTCATATTCATAAAAATTATGGTTGCAATTTGACTTCCAGACCATTTCATTTTCAGTGAAAGCAGATATTTAGATTGTCTGAAGATGAAGCAGCAAGGTAATCCAGTAGTGGTGGGGAATACTTCCTTAGAAAAACAGTTAAACTATTCAAAATGGCCTTTCCTTTCTTTAAAGACAATTATAAATATAATTAAAATTATTTCTTATAACTTAGATGTAGTATAGAATATATTTATTGTTTAAAAACTATTCTCAATTTCTTTAGAGGTCAGAATTTAAAATTACATTAAAAGGTTTGTTTAAAAAATCCATAGATAACCAGTTCTATTATAAGTATGATGTTTATCCTAAGTTTTTGTAAATTAGCTTTACATAAATTCTCTGTTGTTCTCTTAACCTTTTCTTAACTATTCTGTTTTCTAATCTTTAATGTAATATTTTCATTCAGTTTTTTTCTGGGTCCTTAGTTTTATATATCTGAGCCTGTACTGGGATTTTAAAGTACCTGTATGATACCAAGGAAAAATCGAATAGAGATAGAATCTACAAATTAAGATATGCATTTCCTCTTAATCTTTTATTCTTCCAAATCATTCTGGCAACAGAGTTTAGTTTCCATATTTAAATTTTGCTTCTTCCTTCCAAGAGGCTTAGAAAAAGGAGGAGAAAGAGAGTTATGTTATATAATAGATCTTAATTTTAAAAATCAGCCAAAGCTTGATAGGATTTTTATTAACAGTACTCTATCATTACTTTATACCTTTTGATATTTTGTTTCTATTAATACTAATAATTGGCACTATGATTTGGCACTTAATATAGGTATATTCTGCTTCTCCCTCATCCTCTCCACTTAAATTTTTTAAAAAAATCCTCATCCAAGGATATGTTTTTATTGAGTTTTAGAGAGAGAAACCTCAATGTGAGAGAGATTCATCTATCAGCTCCTGTATGTGCCTCTACCAGGAATCAAGCCAGCAACCTTTCGATGTACAGGCCTGTGCTCCAACACACTAAGCCACATGGGCAAGGCCATTCTCTCTACTTTCAGAGACTCAAAAGTGATATGTTAACATTTTCAACTCTTTATACTTAGCACTTTCTAAATTTATTTGACCCAGACTCTCTCTCTCTCTCTCTCTCTCTCTTTTTTTTTAATGGGGAGCATTTCAGAGGATTGGTTTCATAGAATATTTGGGGAATGCTAAAATTTTTTAACCAATAAATATTTAGTAATGGCTACCATTACTATAATAATATTCAGTTGCTCTTTTAAAGTCTTGTTAAAACCTTGCACATACACATGCAAACACACACACACACACACACACACACACACATAATAATGTTAGAAAATACAATGAATCACCCCTTGTGCATTCCTCTCTTATAGTGAATCTAGGCTGGGGAAAAGGATGCTGGCCAGTTGTGGGTCTAAATCTTAAGAAAGCCTGGCAGCTTCCTTTTTGTACCCTCACAGTCTCTGAGTCCAACATAAAGAGTCAGGTTTTCTTAATGCAGAGACTTGTGTTGTGGGAAAACCTTAACGCTGACTTGTTTTACTCCCTGGTTTATCTCCCTAGTTCCTGCATCAAAGTCTAGAATGAATGAATGAATGTGTGACAAATAGGGTTGACACTTGACTTTTTCCCATCGTGGCTTGATTCTAGTCATTTATTTCCTCGTTGGCCTGAGATTACTAGACAGAAGAAATGAAGATGTTGTGTTGTATTGGTGATACATTTTGGAAGTGGCAATATTTTTTATTGACTTCTTTGTGAAACTAAGTGTAAAATTGAAAATTAAACCAAAATTATACCAGAGAAGAAACAGATTTTTGTTTCTGTTTTAATGGTAAAAGATACTTCTAAGAAGTTCATGATACCTGTCTTAAAATACATCATGCCCATCTCCTTCAGAGTGGCACACTGTAAAAAAGTGTGGGTCTTCTTTCAGTGTCTTGGTTATGTCTTCAGCAGAAGATGCTAACTTTTTAGTACTAAACTTGCTAGAGATTATTTATTATTTGTGCATGATTTACTTTTCAAACTTTTAATTTTTTATATGTTAATGTTATTTAGTTTATATTTTAATATACTTATGTTTTTTATCTTATAGGTCCATTCAAAAGCTTGGTGAATTAAATATTGGAATGGATAGCCTTGGTAGTGAGGTATCCACACTCAACCAGCAATGTAATGGGAGCAAAGGCAGTGGATCTAATAATTCTTCTATCATTAGTTTTTCCACACCACCCCAGGATTCTAGCCAGAGATTAACACATGATGCTTCCAATATTTACACAAGCACTCCTCGTAATCCGGGATCCACAAATCACATACCTTTTCCTGAGGAACCCTCTTCTTGTGGAAACCAAGTGTAAGTGCTTTAAATCCAGAAATATTAACTTCTACTAATAGAAGAATAGAAATTCATACTTCTTTTTGGAGCTCATTTACTTATCAAATTTTTTTCTAATCTACCTTCATTTATATATTCTCTTGTACTAACTTGTCTCTTAAGAGACTATATTCCCCTGTTTTATGTAGGAGGCTTTTTTCAAATGTTTGGGAAACCTTGAATATCTGTAAAAAGTGAGGCATTAAAAAGATGCTGTTTGGAAGGAAGATCTACATAGCTGAATGGATCTGTCTATCTGTTGACCTCACAAAGAAATGATTGAGTGGAAATATTATTTTATGGTGAGACCCACAATGGTCAGTTTCTGTTAGTCATTCCTCTTGGGCCAGATAATTTTCATAAAGAGCAATTTAAGTTCCTGCCTGGGGTAGGATTTAATCATAGCAACCAGGATTCTGGAACTAAGCAAGGGAGAGGTACTTGACATTTCACAATAAAATTTGTGAACTTTGACTTAGTCTCTGTTCCAGAATGGCTCTCACTCCCTTCTTACAACTATGCTTGCTGTTAGTGAGTCCAGGGCCACTTAATAAATGGCTCCTGTGAGTAACTTTGGGGACAGTGAGGTTTATTTGCCACAAAAAAAAAAAAAAAAAATTAGAGATCGAATAGACAAATATTTAGTTATGTTTCTGTTTTGATGTTCAGAGTAAACTTTATTTGAATTTCTACTCACACAGCTCATCAGAACATTTGGTCATTAAGCCTCCTCCTGGAGATTCTTCAGGGAATCTGTCAAGATCAAGAGGGGAAGAGGTAATACTTTAGGGAAGGAGGTTTCATTGTTTTTATATAAACTTGCAAAGTTTGCTAAGGAATTCTCAATTCAAAGAATGGACTGTTGTTAGAAATAATCATTATTGTTCATTCTAGGATTTATCTCATGGTAGTTGAGCTTCCACTGGGCTAAGTAAAAAGGTTGCCTCAGAAAGCATATTTGAGAATATTTATATTCGAGGCCCAATAGTGAGCTGTGCACTACTCTCTGAGCCGTATGGTTAATTTATTCAGAGACTGTTTTTATGGCCCTGGGGCTTCTCATCATGCAGTTTTTTTGTTTTGGAACCAGACATCCTTCCCTAACCATATACAGCTTCCTTCACTCTGTTTGTTTTCTGTAGTTCACATTTTAACCCCATGGACAAAGCCATGGTGTCAGATGCTAATGGGACAAAAACAGTTAACAAAAATGAATAAAATTGGCTGTTTTTGTGACAAGCATATAGGAATATTTGTCCCTTGCACAAAGATTTATGCTTGCCTAGTGTTTTCAGTCCTTTTGGTTTTCAAGAAAAGCTAGAAATGTAGATTTTTAGGTGAATTCTCTTTTCAAAATGGCAACGAATTTAAAAAGTTTAAAACACACTAGAGAAGAACAAATAAAAGTTATGGCTCTGCCATTTCTGCTAAAAAGCAAATATTAGTAATTATATTACTGTACATAGGCCATTTAACCAGTCATTCCCTTCCCTTTTTGTCTTATCTGCCCATGCTATTCATTTGGCAAACAGTTACATTTCTTATATCGTATATATGGATTAATAGAAATTATAGCATTTCTAGTCAAATAAGTTCATATGACTAATATAAGAATTCATTCAATTATATAAGACAAACTTGTGACATATCAGGCATACCCTCTATTATTGCATGAATATATAAAAGTTTGGGTAGAGAGTGGCATAGTCTCTTCATTGATATAGTCACTATGGGTTCCAGAGCTTCATGCAAGCAGAGCTGAGGTGATTTACCTTTGTGTGTGCACTTGGTATTCATTCTTCACAAAGACAGGATTGGGTTGGATTTGTTGACCACATCCAGTCTATGAGTTCCTGTTCCAGGTCCAGCCATCCCTGGTCAGGGTAGCAGGGTGCTGCAGAACTGCTCCAACGTGCTTCCTCAGAACAGGCTGACAGTTGGAAATAAAAAAGAGGCTCAAATAAAATGCTCTGATTAAAATTACTTTTATAATTTTAAGGGTTTTTTACAATTTCAGTTTGAAATATTAATGTATTCATTGCTGGAGATAATGGCAAACTTTTTTTTTTTTTTTTTTTTTACCCTAAGTGCATTTAAAAATAGTCCTTTATATCCTGCTTTTAAAAACATAAATAATGTTCTGTTATTTTTGTAAGAACTATATATGTGTGCTATATTTTTTTTCTTGACAGTTAAATGCAACTTAATATGGGAATGTTTATTGTTATATTTTATCATAGTAAGTGAAGAAAAACTTGAATTTCTGTAAGAGACCTGAGCTTAGTATAGCAATGAGTAGCAAAAAATGGAAAAATTGGGGTTAATTGGACTTGCCATTTAAAAGAATATATGATTGTAGATAGTGAACTATATAGTTCAAATGAATTGAAACTGGGATAAAGACGAATTCTTTCAAACTCATTTTTTTTTCATAGGATGACTTTCCTATTCATTCTTTCCTTAGGATGACAAATCAAAAAAGCAGTTTGTTTGCATTAATACCCTGGAGGACACACAGGCTGTTAGAGCAGTGGCTTTCCATCCAGGTGGTGGTCTGTATGCTGTAGGTTCAAATTCAAAAACTCTGAGAGTGTGCGCCTACCCGGAGGCCATTGACCCAAGGTAAGGATAGACGGCTGGCTGTACTGCCGTTCTTGTTTCAGTTTTTAATTCAGCTCTATTGGTCTCTCTTACAGAATTGTCATTCGGTAGTGTTTAATTTTTATTTCCTTTTGTTAAGTTTTAATTTTTATTTCTTAAAAAATACACTTTTATTTATTTCAAAGAGGAAGGGAAAGGGAGAGAGATAGAAACATCAACAATGAGAGAGAATCATTGGTCAGCTGCCTTCTTCATGTCCTCTACTGGAGTTTGATTCTGCATCCTGGGCATGTGCCCTTGACTGAAATCCAGCCCAGGATCCTTCAGTCTGCAGGTCAACACTCTATCCACTCATTGTTTTCTATGTGGTCTGAAATAAGAGTTTAGATTAGTATAATAATGATTTGTAATTTTACTTTCGGATTTTAAATATGCTTTAACTTTATTTTTTCTAAGACTTTGAAAATTGTTATTAACATATTGTCAGATACTTTTTGTGCTTCCTCCCTCAAGAACAACAGTAATATAGAACTTCATGCTCATTAATTCTAGCAATAGAACTTGAAATATCTTTCTTAATTTTTTTTTTTTTTTAGTGCACATGACATCCCTAAGCAGCCAGTGGTACGTTTTAAAAGGAATAAACATCATAAAGGATCCATTTACTGTGTGGCCTGGAGTCCTTGTGGACAGTTATTAGCAACAGGATCAAACGACAAATACGTCAAAGTGTTGCCCTTCAATGCAGAGACTTGTAATGCAACAGGTAGGGCCCCAGTATGGGAGCAGTAGCTCTCCAGTGTATTTTTATCTTTTGCCCATGTCGTAGCTCTCCTATATCACTCTGCTGTCTCTAATAAAATCTAAGAAGGTAGCCTTAAGGATTTTTTTTACATTCTAATTGCTTGGCTGTATTTATCTGGCATTATTATTATTTTAATAAGTTCTTACAGATGGCCAGGTGGTGTCTAATCCTAGAAAATTATTGTTATTAGAAAAGTAACTTTTAAATAACTACAGTATTGTATTGTACATTTTCTAGAGAGTATCTGTCTTCTCTTTCATTTTCTTTGGAATAAAAATCAAGAAGGTAACTCTCCATATAGCTGTTTTATTTTATTTAATAAAAGTATTTTTTTTAATATATATATATATATATTTTATTTCAGAGAGGAAGGGAGAGGGATGAGAGAGAATCATTGATTGGCTGCCTCCAGCACCAGCGATTGAGCCAGCAACCCAGGCATGTGCCTTGTACCAAAAATTTAACCTGTAGCCTTTCGGTGCACAGGACACAACCAACCCACTAAGCCACTCTGGCCAGGGCTGAACCAGTATCTGGATTTCTTGAAGTTCTTTGCTCAGTAAAGTGAAATTGGTTACAATATCAACCCTTAAGTGCAAACATAAACCATTCCATTCTGCCGTTATTCCTGGTCAGTCTTGAGGCAGTTTTGTAATCTCAAATTGTCACAGTAAGTTGAGCAGCATCTTTTTGTTTTAATTCTTACTGCTGTTTCAGGACCAGATCTGGAATTTAGTATGCATGATGGGACGATAAGAGACTTGGCATTTATGGAAGGCCCGGAAAGTGGCGGAGCTATTTTGATAAGTGCTGGAGCAGGGGATTGTAACATCTACACAACCGATTGTCAAAGAGGACAGGGCCTGCATGCTCTGAGTGGACATACCGGTATGTGCTATCAGTCTCAACCCATCTTTTCCCACTTCCCTTTGCATTTCATTAATGGGGTATATTTCATCAGAGCAGATTTCTCCAAGACAAAACATTTTCTTTCAAAAAGTTAAATTGTGAACACAGTTATGATAGCTAATAGTTCCCTGTGTGTTAAATTCTTTACTTAGAGCTTAGTTCCTTCATTTAACCCTCACACCAATCTTATGAGGCAGGAAGTTTTATCTCTGTCTTAGACATGAAAAGGCAAATGACTTGCCCAATCTTACAGCTGAATGTGCGGAACTGAAATATGACCCCAGGTCTGTCACTTCCAAAGCTGGTGATCTAACCCCACAGTCCTGTGCTTCCTCTGGAAAATTTGCCATAATTTCAAATACAATTTTTTTTTTAAGAGAAAGGGAAGAAGGGAGAGAGAAAAAACACACTAAACACTGACTCGTTCCACTTAGGCAATCATTGGTTGATCCTGCATGTGCCCTGCCCAAGGGTTGAACCCTCAGCCTTGGTACAGCAGGACGATGCTCTCACCAACTGAGAGAGCTACCTGGCCAGGGCCCAAAATAAATGATTTTTTTAGTACTGATTAAGATATCCTAAAGTACTGAATAACCAAAAAGGATTAAGATTTATTAATATGGTTTTGATATGCATTTTACAGAGTTTTAATAGATATAGCCAATATATATATGGAAAATCTCTACCACATTGTATATTTGATTAAGCAGACCATCATGTGCCCAGTAATAAGGAGCACTTAGCTCTGAATGTGTTATAGCAAAGTGCTGTTCCACAGTATAACTGAGTATATGATCTTTTCTAGGACATATTTTAGCACTTTATACTTGGAGTGGCTGGATGATTGCATCTGGTTCCCAAGATAAGACTGTTAGATTCTGGGATCTTCGAGTACCAAGCTGTGTTCGTGTTGTTGGTACAACATTACATGGAACTGGTAGGTTTTCCTGGAATTTATATGAATTTCTATGAGAAAGAAACTATAAATTGCACTGAGTACTTTCTCTCCTCTGCAATATATATGTCAAAAAAGGAATAGAAACAAATGATGACTTTTAAAAAATATCTCCTGTTTTCTATGTGGTCTGAAATAAGAGTTTAGATTAGTATAATAATGGTTTATAATTTTACTTTAGGACTTTAAGTATGCTTTATTTCTTCTAAGGCTTTGAAAGCTGTTACTCAATTGTGGTCAGATACTTTTTTGCTCCCTCCCTCAAGAGCAATGGATAAACCACCATCCCTCAACTTCACTCTGCAAGAGCTGCCTTCTTCTGCTCTGCACTTGCCCTTGTGCCCTCCAGCCTGATCCACAGAGCAGCCCCAATACATCACACCTCCCTCACAGCACATCACACCTCCCTCACAGCACATCACGGCTTCTCATCGCTCTTAGCTCACCGTGCCTGTGAGACCCTGTGTGGCCGGGCATCATGGGCCCTTCGAGTCTGAGCTCCCATCACTTGCACCTTTCCTTCCAGTGCCTGGACCGTGCCACTCCTCCTTCCTGAGTGAACCCACCCGCTGTTTCCTTGGCCTGACATGTTCTTCCACGTGTCTTCTCACCGCCGGGTCCTTCTCCTCTGTACTCTTAGCTTCAGCGGCACCCTGCCAGAGAGGCCTTCTTGGGACTTCATCATTCTTTTCTCTCACTGAACTCCATGGATTCCCTTCACAGCTCTTACCGCTATTTAAAATTATGTATTTGTTTATTGCTAGTCTCTGCCAATAGATTTTAAGTCTCACAATAGCAACAATTATATCTGTTGTAGTTCTCTGAGTAGATTTAGCACCTGCCCTAGTACATGGACCAGGAGAGTCGTGATCTAATTACTCTGTTGAATGAATAAATCTGGATTTCTTTTGGCAGCGTGAACTTTGCATAAAAACTGAACTCACTGTGTTTCCCCTGCAAATCAGCTCTTTCCCCCATTTTTCCTGTTTTTGGACATCGCTTCCCTTATTTCCTCATGCAGCTAGATTTGAACTCCAGGACTCACTTTCACTTTTTCCCCTCCTCCCCATCCAAGCAGTTAATTGCCAAGTTTTTGGATTCTTTATTCATATATTTTCTGAAGTCTGTCTTTCCTTATGCAGGCCCTTATTCATCTATTACTCTTATTTATCTTGTCTTCCACTGCCCTCGCTTCTGCAGTCTGTCTGTTTTAATCTGATGCACATTCACACAGGTTACTCTCCCCAAAGGCCTGCTTCCTCTTCCTTAGAAAGCTGCAGTGATGATTCACTGTGCCCAGGGACAGTTCGCACCCTGCACTGCGATGTTTTCGACGCTCAGCTGTCTGTCCTAACCTGCCAGTGATGGCTCAGCTCCAAGCTCCTCTTACGTTAACTTGTTAAGCCAAGTCATTCAGGCCAAAGAAAGCTTCCTACTCTTAAACGTGTCTATGCTTTCTCTGTAAAGCTTTTCTTATTAATTCTTCATGACCATAGTAGCTCTCTTCACTTCTCTATCAAAATTTCAAACAATTATCCTAGACGGATTGGCTCAGTGACTAGAGCATCAGCCTGAAGACTGAAGGGTCCCGGGTTTGATTTTGGTCAAGGGCACATATCTTGGTTGTGGAAGGCAACCAATTAATGTGTCTCTCTCACATTGATTTTTCTTTCTCTCTATTTCTCACCCTCCCTTCCACTTTGTCTAAAAATCAATGGAAAAATATGCTTGGTTGAGGATTAACAAAACAAAACAGAAATTTCAAGCAATGGATATTTTTTATTGCATTTAAACACACATTTTTTTCTCTCTCTCCTTCTCTCTTTTTAATAGATTTAAATAGATATAATACATTTAAACACACATTTTTTTCTCTCTCTCCTTCTCTCTTTTTCCCTCTCCCCCCCCCTCTCTCTTTCTCTCTCTCTCTTCTTCTCTCCTTCTCTCATTCCCTCCCTCTCCCTGCCTCTCTTTGTCTCTCTCATTCCGTTTATTATTCTTCAAGATCTAACTCATATGCCTTTTTGGGTGAAGCCTTCCCAGGCCACTTTGGTCAAGAGCAGTGTTCTTCAACCGTATTTTCATTATTTCCCCTGCGAAGGGAAAAACGAAATTAATATTTTTCCTAACAAGAGAAACGAAACACTAAGGAGTGAGATTCTGTTGGGCGGGCTGAGCTTTGAAGGCCACGAGCCATAGCTGATGTTGGTGCTTTTCATCCCTTGCCAGTCATTTTCTCCCCTTGGGAGCATCACTGCCCCATCGGAGAGGCCTGGTCTAGAGCGAGGGCTCCCGCCTGTTGGCAGTCAGTCCTGGGTGGTTAGAGGTGTTTTCTGCACTGTGCCCTAAGCCGCATCTTGTTATTTAATTTCTTGTTCTCCCAACTAGACTGTAAGCTGGCCCGGGACTATTTCTGGACACTTACCCAGCGTCAGGGACGCAGCACATCTATCGCACTGAGGTGCTGCCGTCCCAGGGGTTCTCCCGGATGGCAAAAGGGTGGACTGTCTCATTTCTCACAGAATCGGCTTCAGACCTTGCCTCGAGAAAGGATGCAGTTGTTATTGGCTGATTGTTAGTTTGCATTTCTCCAAAACCGAGCAGTGTGGCAAGCTGTGTCACACTTGTAGGGTGTGGCTCAGCAACATGATTTGCTGTTGCAGTTCAGCTCTGTTGGTTTTCCCACACTGAGCCTTCCGTTCCTCCCGCCGTGCAGGCAGTGCAGTGGCTTCCGTGGCTGTAGATCCCAGCGGCCGTCTCTTAGCCACAGGCCAGGAAGACTCTAGCTGCATGCTGTACGACATCAGAGGAGGAAGGATGGTGCAGAGTTATCACCCTCACTCCAGCGACGTGCGCTCTGTCCGATTCTCTCCCGGAGCTCACTACTTGCTAACGGGATCCTACGATATGAAGATCAAGGTGACAGACCTACAAGGTGATGCAGATGGACCTTTTTCCTTTCCGTAGTCTCTTCTGTTCTATTTTGGTTCTGTCTTTTTTGTTAATGTGGTGGGATTGACCCAAAAACATTTTCAGATTTCAGTTTTATAGTAGTTACTGAGAAAATTGCTGGTATTGTATGGAGATGAATTATAGCAAATTATTAAATTTATGTTCTCTTTGTTTCTATTTTTAAAAACTTAGTGTGTAATCTGTGTAATTATGTCTTCAGAAAATAGTTTTATTGCTAAACTATATTTTGAGCAAATCTGTGTACCAACCAGGGACAGAGAGGTGAGTAAGATATGTAACTTCCTTTTGATGGAGCTCACATTTTGGACATCAGTAAAAAGTAACTCAGATGATGTGATTTGGAGTACTGGTAAGTGCTATTAAAACATTAGCCAGGGAGGAGAGAGACTGGGTGCTAGGGAATGCTAGTTTTGGTAGGATAGAGTGGGTCTCCCCGGGAAAGTGCCATTTGTGTAGAGACCTGAATGATGAGAAGGAATAAGCCATGCCAGGACTGGGGGAAGGCCACAGCGAGTGCACAGTCTGTGGAGCAGGGATGGATTGGGCATGTTCGTGACACTGCAAGAAGCCAGTGTGGCTGGGGAACCGAGGGAGAGAGAGGGGAAGACATAAGGTGGGTTTTATAGGCATTAAAAAAACATAATGGAGTCCTGTGGAAGACTTAAAACAGGGAGTCATACGATCTAAATTACATTTTTAAAAGATAATATTGAGTCCTGTAGGGAGAAGGATTATAAGTATAAAGGTCAGTGAGGAGCCTGTTGGAACCATTCAGGTGAAATATAAGGGTGGGTGGTAGAGGCGGAGGTGGCAAGAAGTGACAATTTGGGATACACTTTAGTTTGTTTGGATTAGGTTTGAAAGTGAGGGGAAAGGAATCAGTGCTGATCAGTTTTTGGCATGAGCAACAATATGGTGCCATTAATTGACGTGGGGTCAAGAAGGTGGGGCAGGAACAGGTTTAGGCAAGAAAATAAAGAGTTTGCTTTAAACAGGTTAAGTTTAAGATGCCTGCAACCAAGTAAGATGTCAAATAGCTACTTGGATACTAGTCTGGAGCTCAGGTGAGAAGTCAAGGTTGGAGATGAAATATATGTGACTCATATTAATGGTCATGGTGCCATGATACTAGATGAGATTTTCTAGGACGTGAGGGATAAAGGGAACAAGAAATCTGAAGGCTGACACCTGAGATTTACCAAACTTTAAATGAGGAAGAGAAGGGAAGCACACAGAGGAGACCAAGAGGTGGTGGCACCGAGGTCAGGAGGAAGTGGCCTTGAGTTTCCAGGAGCCAGTGGCAGCTGTGTGCATGTTACCAAATAGTAACAATTACATAGCCAGTAATCTAGCTCTGTTTAAATTTTTCAATATATTGTATTCATGTAGTTTAGGATTTTTATACTGTAATGTCCTAAAGGAACAGGAAGTCTGTGAAATCTAAACGTAGACTTCCTTTGTATTGTCAGTCAACATCTCTTTTCTTTTTTAATTTAGGAGACCTCACGAAACAGCTTCCCATCATGGTGGTGGGGGAGCACAAGGATAAAGTGATTCAGTGCAGGTGGCATACCCAGGACCTGTCCTTCCTGTCGTCGTCTGCAGACAGAACTGTCACGCTCTGGACTTACCGCGGATAGAGCACACCCAGTGCCGTCTGGGCCGTGACAGCACGGGGACTGAAGACTACTGATTGTGACAATTCCAGATTGAAGAACACGGGCTGACCAGGAAGGCGGCTTGGCATGAGGAGGCCCTCTGACCCTGTACCCCTTTGGCAGGAGCTGTGGGCGTGTATTCTGCGGTGCTTTCGGCTTCCAGTGAGTTCGTGCTGCTGTGACCTGCTGCGTGTCGTCTTGTTGCCAAAGTCTGCGGAAGAACTGTGTTGTCAGTGTGCGCTCCAGTCAAGGTGGACGGTGTGTTTACGGTTTAGTATTAAAGCATTCCTTGGTCTTTGCCGAAATAACAGTTTTATATACACATGAGATGGAAGTGTACTTTTAAGCATATTATTACATGTAATGCAACCAAGTCCTACACAGATTAAACATAGGTGTTCAGAAGCTGTTTTGTTTTTCTCACGACCCCATGATATTGTATCACTTGCCAGCTAGAGGTCAGCGTTTTATGTCTCTTGAAAGTGACATGGTTGTTTTCACTGAAGAGCATTCTTGAGTTTAAAGATGGAGGGAAACTGCTTCTTAGATCATTATGTGGTATAGGCCTTTTCTTTTTTCTTAATCCAGGGATATAACTATTACTTTGTCACGTTCTTTTGTTTCATGCTTAAAAGGTAAACATGTTTGCTTCAGAAACTTGTTCATTTCAACTTTTTGAATGCAACAAGATACCTCCCTTCCAATCTGTACTGTGGGGCAGAGCAGCGGCAGGTGTGACACTACCCTTGATGGTGCAGTCAATTTACTGGCCAGCAATTTCCTCTAAAAAACGAAAACTTTGCCATAGACTATAGCATGGCTTGAAATGCTATGTCTGCATGATAACCTGAAGATGGGAATTTTAAACTTTGCACTCCAAAAGCTTATTTGGGTTTCTTCTTGCACTGTTTTGTGTAATGCAGAATAATGATTTTATTTCTACGGCAACGTAGATCCTAACACTTACGTATCTTTATTTTCATATTGTACAGTAATTTTACTTTAAATTATTAAATAGGCTATTTTATTTATTTTAAATGCAGTTGAATTGGTTCTAATTATTGAACTGTCTGTGCACTGTATGTAGCAAGCATTTTTAAACTATTGTATACAAGTGGGAAGGGTATTAGAAGTGTAACTGTGCTATTATTTCAATAAAGACCTCTTGACACCCAAAACTATTCTGTTTCTCAGTGTCTGTGGCTTTCAATTTAGAGGGTTATTTTCTCCAGTTTACTTGGAGGTAGTGTGTTCCAGTGATGAGCAATCAATTTCTTAAGTTTCTAAAGTTGTTTCACTAATTTACTTTTTAACCCTTCACAACTGCATAACTTTTGTATATTCTACCTCTTTAATTCAAGATCTAGAGAACTTCCTATCATGAATATATTCTGAAAGTTGGTAATACAAACCTGGCAAAATGTATAAATTTTAAGTTAGACTACAAATGAAGTGAGTGCTCTTAGAAAGAAATGAAATCTAATTAGCTTGTATACAATTTTGCTATCTCTTAGGCATGTAGAAGGGAACTCCACTAAAAATAGGCTACAGTCTCTAGTTTCATGCTTAATTTTTAAAATATGTATTTTATTGATTTTTTACAGAGAGGAAGGGAGAGAGAGAGCTAGAAACATCGATGAGAGAGAATCACTGACCAGCTGCCTCTTGCACAACCCTTACCAGGGATGTGCCCGCAACCAATGTACATGCCCTTGACCGGAATAGAACCTGGGACCTTTCAGTCCGCAGACTGACACTCTACCACTGAGCCAAACCGGTTTCGGCTCATGCTTAATTTTACACATTTTAGATATAGAGGTCATTAATGTTAAATTTAAAACTAGGAAAAATAACAGGGTTTTAAGCAGTTGTGTGTGTGTGTGTGTTTTTTTAATATAGACAACTTTATGGTAAAAATGTTCATAAAATTTTGGATCCCACATTCATCATTATCGAGGTGTAGGCTTTAAGATCCTTCTATATGTGGAATATGGAACTTGTTTTGCAGAGTATTAGATAATAATCACTAGAAGTTGTCTTACTGCAATAAATATTTGGTTACATATGTCCTTCCCATGCCTCCACAGTCTTCTGCATGGAGGTGAACAGATTTCGTTCATGTGAAAGAAAGAGAAAATAAGAGAACTTGAAGTATCTACATTTTCTGGCCCCTTCTCAGGGAGGAATGCAGAAATTAACTCCTTGGTAAAAGCTTCAGAGGTCTGATTCAAATTTTATGTTTTGAATGTTTAACTATTTTTTTTAATTGTAATAAAATAAAGATACAATCAACAGAGTAAAAAGGCAACCCATGAAATTGGAGAAAATATTTGCAAATCATATATCTGATAAAGGGTTAATATTCAGAATAAAGAATTCCTATACCTCAATATCAATCCCCTTCTCCCAAATAACCTGGTAAAAAAATGGCCAAAGGGCCCAGTTGGGGTGGCTCAGTGGATGAGCGTTGACCCATGAACCAAGAGGTCCCCAGTTCCATTGTTGGTCAAGGTACATGCTTGGGTTGCAGGTTCTATCCCCTGTAGTGTGGCAGGGGAGGGTGCAGGAGATGGTGGATCTGATCGATGGTGGATTCTCATAGAAGTTTCTATCTCCCTGCCCTCTTTTAAATTTATTTCTTCTTCCCTTCTCAAATTAATAAGAACACTTAGAAAAGAATGTTCTTAAAAAAGATGGACAAAGGACTTGAATAGACATTTCTCTAAAGAAGACAAACAAATGGCTAATAATAAGCTTATGAAAGGATGCCTAACACCACTAATCATTAGGGAAATGCAAATGAAACCATGAGATGCCACCTCCCATCCATTAGGAAGGCCACTATAAAAAAGTGTTGGCAGGGATGTGGGGCAATTGGAACTCTGGTGCACTCTTGGTGAGAATGAAAAGTGGTGCAGCCTCTGTGGAAAACAGTATGGTGGTTTCTCAAAAAATTAAAAATAGAACTATATATGATCCAGCATCCCCACTTCTGGGTATATAACAAAAATAATTGAAAGCAAGGGCTTGAAGAGATATTTGTACACTCGTGTTCATAGCAGCACTACTCAAAATAGCCAAAAGGGGCAGGCAACCCAAGAGTACATAAACAGATAAATGGATTAATAAACTTTGGTATACAACACAATGGAATATTCAGCCATAAAAACAGAAGATTTTGACACGTTACAACATGGATGATCCTTGAGAATATTATGCTACGTGAAATAAGCCAGTCACAAAAAAGACACTATTGCTTCCACTTAGCTGACGTTCCTACAATAGTCAAATTCATAGAGTTACAAAGTGGAATGGTGGTTGTGGGAGGAGGGGGGGGGAAATGGGGGGGGGAAGGGAGTGATGAGATGTATAATGGGTCCAGAATTTCAGTTTTGCAGGATGAAAAAGTGAAGGAGATGGGATGGTTGCACAACAATGTGAATTATTTCATAACAACGAACTATACACTGAAAAAGCGGCTAAGGTGGTAAATTTTGTCAGGTGTATTTTAATTTTAAATAATTATAATAAGCAACACCTTCGGTGATGTACTACTACTACATTATATATAAAAATTTAAGACACTTAAAAATTTTCTGCCAATAACTTGTGCACCTCTCTCACTAACTAGTGTGTAAAGCATATCCTTTCTTTCTTTGCAGAGTTTCCTGAGATTGCAAGGCCAGCAGTTAAAGACAAAAACAAAACAATCCCTTTCATTCATCACAATCCATTTAAAATATTATGCTTAACATAGATTTCCGGGTTTCACTGAGTTGCACTATTAGGAGTTATAAAATAAATCAAGATTTAAAAAAATACCCTTCATCTCCGTTTTATACGTTTGGCTTTGTAGGGAGTCACTTGCAGAGCGTTCTGCAGGTGCAAAACTCCAAAAGTCCCCGCCGGAAAGCCCGCCCACAGGGCCTGGCCCCGCCCCCTCGGCGGGCCAATCAGCGGCGCGCCCGGAAAGGACGCATAGCTGCTGGCCGAGCGGGTCGAGGAGGGCGCGCGGAGGCTCGGCGTCCACTGAAGCAGCTCAGCGGTTCGCGCAGGCGCTGAACACCTCCTCCCGCCGCCCGGGCGGTCACTTGTCTTCCCGGAGCGGCCGCCGGCGACCCCGGACGTGAGTGTCGCCGTGCTCGTGCGGCGGGCGGGCGGGCTGGCGGCCGGGCCGGCGGGGCTGGGCCCGGCGGGTCTCCGGGCGGCGGGGAGGCCGAGGCGGCTGCCTCAGCGCGGTTGCTGCGCGTTGCTGCGGGCTCCCGGGTTCAAAGAGCGGCCTGGGGAAGCGGGGCGAGCGGGTGCGAAGCCGACCCGGGTGGACGTTGAGGTTTGTTGGTTTGGGTTATCTCTGAAAACTTGAATAAATACCGTTTCCCGAAGAGCCGGGCTTTGGTGGATTTTGAAAACCTCCAAATCTGATTTGAATGTGAGAAGTTAGAGGCAAGTGTAGGAGCAGGTGGTGAAACAGTGAGCCAGGTTTTCTGAGTGACGGAGGTGGTGGTGCTGTGGACCTCGGACTCGAACCCGCTGCATCATCATCACCATCATCACCACCATCGCCTTCACCTGGGCGCCCGCTGGCCTCGCCCGCCCGGCTCAGCCCCGGGAGCGGGCCCGGGAGACTGCGCGTGCGCACGCGCTCGGAACTCCGGACACCTGGTCCTGCCCCGTTACTACGGAATTTGACTCTTCGCTTTAGCTTTGTCTTTCTCATTAAACGTGTACATTCACTGAGATCGGATACTTCTTTTTCTTTAATGAAAACTTTATTTTGGCAAAGTTTTTAAAACGTGCCTTCACTGTGGAGAGTATTACAGATGCCTCCCATGGCCCCCTCCACCTGGTTCCCGGCCCCCGACTGCACTGTGGTCTGTGATCTTGGGCAATGCGTACTTCCATGCCTCTGCCTCTATTCAGTTGGTTTATGTTGTTCATTAAGATTCTACATGTAAGTGAGATCATGTGATGTTTCTTTCTGT